CAAAAACGGCAATGACTTAGTTGCCAACCCAATAGTTTTATAAACCAATTGCCCTACTCTCTTCTCCGCAATACAAGGTAATTAGAAAATGCTCTAACGTCTTGAAAGAATTGGTGTCAAACAGTTGGTTCTCAACTGTAAATGAGACCTGCCAACCATGCGTGTGGGAAATGAGAATGACATTGTTCGTTTACGTGCCAATTTATGCGTTAACGATAATCACCGTCTTCCACTTGTTGTTGAGAATATATTTTCAGTTCCCAACAGTGCCACATTTTTTACGAATTCGAAGTTCCTTGAGGCTTATCTGCAAGTTAAGGTCAAACTAGGATGATGTTGCTACATCAATCACGATCATAATGACATGAAGAACGATTTATTGACACTTTAAATAGGGATCTCACTCAAAGCAAAATGGGAGAGGGAAGTGATTTGAAGTTCCTGCAAACCTACAGAACGATTCCTCATCCGATGCTGGTGGTGGATGGGAGGGGAGGGGAGAGTGTAAATCGACTAAGAGCCAAAAATTTAAAGTGGGATCTAAAAGATGGAAAGAGAAGACAAATATACCAACTAAATGTCATTAAAGAAGTGTGTTTATTGCCAGTAATATCGCATTTGCTATTTATTTTCAAAATCGGCCCATTCTGAAAGGTTAGAAGAATCCATCTACGGAGTTTAAATAAACGAAATCTTTTGAATCGAATGTAGAAACCAGTATTAACCTTATCTTACCTCCTGTAAGACACATTTCAACTGTAGGCGGGTAAATCAGATATGACCAGAGTAAGACAGACGTCAAAAGAAAATGAAATTAAGCATACTGTAAACATATTTTCTCGACTATATTGACATTAAATTTATCTGTTTCCCTACATTTCATATTGAAAATAGCATCTAGTTACAAAGTAATTTGTGAGCGCACGATTAAGCTAGTATTGTGCACCTTAACCAGTACTTACATTTCCTTTCGTTTTCCGCCTATTTTGTGAATACTCCGCTAAATTTCCTGTTGGAATTTATTTCATTAAATTCTTTGTGAAGGCGGCTGTCTCGCCCATCTACTACAAATTAGCATGACAACTTGCACTGTGAATATTTTGTGCCAAAACAGCCAAAATACTATAGGTAAAGAACAAGATGAGAAATAGTCTCCTAAATAGTAGCACTCATTTATAAATTCATCCATAATAGAGAATTACGACTGCTGAGTATTTTGTAAACTAACATTACGTTGAAAGCAGAGTTGATTAGTGAGTTTGACGAAGTGCAAGAGTTTAATTTTGATTCTGTTTAACCTTGATTACGGTGTTAATATACGCGGCTTTGTAAAGAAGGCTTTTGGGAGATTTTGTCACGGTATAGCAAATGATCATGCAAATAAAAATATAAAACTGGAGAAGCCATTGCGTTGTTTGATGTCTCACAAGTGTCATATTCACGTTGTTACAAATAGACATTCAAAAAGGGGTGTGCGATAGGCTTACCTTCACGTGGTGCTCCCTGGGCAACGTATACTCATACGGCAAAAAAGTCTATTAACTGGCAGTGGACTTCTGACTTCAAACTACCATCACCCCACTGTATGTCATATTCGGCTACTTTCACAGTACTCACCTCATTTTTTCTACCTTTGTGTCTGTCTCTTTTACATCTTTGAAACACTTTTCTGTCCCCCCTCTCGACTTTTTTTTCACTTTAATTATCCTTCCCCTCTGTGAATCCTGAAGTCAACTAAAGATCTGATGATTACTATCAAAATGCCTGCCATTTGATATAAATAAATAAATAGACATTCGAAAATGCACTTTTCATTATTGGATTACTTGATTTTCAGAGATTTCTGCTCACCTGGTTTAAATTAAGGTTTCTCAACGGCAAACTTTATTGCTGAAAAATTGCATAAGTGTGTCGTTAAAATAAGGAAATATATTACTACTTCAATATATCCAATAAGCATTCAAAAATTATCAATAAATATGGGCAGGTTAATTTATTTCCTGTAAAAAAAGATGCACTGCTTTTATGGCAGCCTAATTATTAAAATCGAAAGTAGTTTTTTAATCACATATACGCAGAAAAAGATTTAAAATTTTGGGAAGCACATTGTTCCCTTAGTATTACCTTCTTGAAATAATTAACAGAGTCGTAATGTTACATAATGGGACCTTGAGGGTATTAAATATCTTGCTCATTCTGTTGTGATAACAATTTTAAACTAATATGTTCTTTGTCAGTGATAAAAGTTTGTACAATACAAAGCAAAAGCAGAAAGAGACTGTAAAAACTTAGTCAAGAAGTATGCTGTGGTGCTTCCACGCTCGGTAGCGATGAAAGAACAGCGTCATAAGCAAAAGAACTAGGGAGACAACAAAGATAAGACCGGGCCAGAAGGCAGAATGGAAAATTGTATGCGGTCGGTGGAATTTGTCCATCAGTGCCTCGTGACTGCGAAATTTGCCCGAAACATAGCATCGGAACTTTGTTCTCGAAAGGAGACGCATTCGGAATAAGTCCACTACGTAACGATTATCTTCTGTACGCCGATGGCATGTTGAAGTTACGCACTAGGAAATAAAATTCCACTATGAAAATAATCAATATATATTTTAATATTCATTTACTTACAAATGCGGTAAAACAAAATTAAGGCATATATATATATATATATCTCTATTGGATGTCTCAAAAAATTATCCACACTTAAAATTATTGACAACATAGTGTCTATTATTATTTCAATAGTTCAAATGTGCAAAAATATTTACAAGTATCATTTTATTTTTTATCGTTTTTTGCTTTATTGTTTTTAAAAATACGGTTCTGCGAGTGGTATTTAGAACAATGAGTGGGAAAAGGAAATTTTTCAGGAAAGATTGTGTGGAGTGACGAGGCCTTATTCAAGTCAAATTGTTACATTAACAGCCATGATTGTACATATTGGGGACCTGAGTATCCATACGTTACTCTCGAACGTCATACCAATTTACCTGGAATTACAGTGTGGTGATGTGTATCATCAAGTGGTTTAATTCTACCGTTCTTTTTTGACGCTACTGAAATCGGTCCCATTTGCTTGAACTTTCTGCAGCAGTCTATTATACCAGGCATTAGAGAAGACTTTGAGATAAAGATGATTAGTTTCAGAAAGATTACCACATTGCCCACATTACTATCACAATGTCAGGTCTCTCCTTGATGAGTTCTTGCCAAGCAGGTGGATTACACAATTAGGTTTTGCTGAATATCCTCAACTTTCATCATACCTCAGCCCATTAGATTTTTTCTTATGGTGATACTTAAAAGGCAAAGTCTACGCTAACAAATCTGCAACAGTCACTGAATTAAGAGAAGCCACGAAGCATGAATGCGTCTAAATCCCGAGGGAATTGTTTCAGGATTTGTATGATTCCATTCCTTGGTGTTGTCAGCAGTGTCTGGATCAAAATGGACGTCATCTTGAGAACAAGCAGTGAATAAACAATACAATTATACTAGCAAAATGTTTTCGAGCTTTCGAAATAATAAAATTCCAATTGAATGACACGTTTACAAGTGGTTTCAATATGTGTACATTTTTTGTGACGCCCTTAATATATATTGCATTTGTGTTGAAAAATAATTGAAATTTTCAAAGAAATCGAGTGTATATTGAAAAAAATAAATAATTTTTTATTTATTAAAAGCCTAGCATTCATGTGCTGGAGCAAGCAACGCGCTCGAACATATTTGTTTCAATACTCAAATAACATTTTTAGTGACATTTTTAATGAATTACGGATTTACCTTGCTGTCTAATAGACTTAATTGGCCACATCTATGTATATTCGGCTCAAAAAATGCAAAGTATTCCATCTGCAGCATAAAACATTCATTTGTATGATTTAGTTAAAATGGGCGAAACATTTCCGTCTTGGTTTCAGTCGAGCATACAGAGATTAAATGGCAAAGGTGGAACTCAAATAAATTCAGACAATAGCAATCATTGTTAACCTAAATATGTTTTTTTCTGATCCGAAATTTTAGACGCGCTTGTGTTATTTCCTAACTAAAATAGCAGTCACATCAATACTACTAAAAATAAAAATATAACATGATGGCAGGTGACACAACGCATATTGAGCATATTTTTAATATTGCACTAAATCAACTAATACTTCTAAAGGCTATTTTTTTGTGAATCCCATTTTGGTACAACCAGCTTTTTTGTTGTTGTCCAGGAGTCAGTTGTGATTTGCTGGGGAATAAATTTCATTGAAATTTTTTAATTGTTCATCATCGGCAATACTAAAACCTATAAAATTCTTATTTTACATTTTCTTATAATTATTTGTAATCTTGATTTCCTTTGCCTTCGCCAAATTGTAAATTTAATAAGACCATTTATTTATAACTACTAAATTATAGTTTTTCGAAGAAATCATGCCTTGCATTAGTGTTTTATAAATCATTTGCATTTGTATTCTTGTCAAATACACTTCCTTGTTCATTGTTAAGAAAATGGAGTAGAATGAAGCTTTTAATATATATATATATATATATATATATATATAGTGAGCAAATTTTTCACATATACTTATAAAAATAATCGCGAACGAATACTTTCACATTAGCGGGAAAATTAAATAAAGTTCCATCGGTGTACTAATTTTTTGAAATTCCTTTCCACATTTTGTTTTAATTTCATGATGCTGGCACGATTCAGGCAATGCTATTTGTTTATTAATGATGCTATGTATTCCTCTCTCATTAACTTGGATCTATATTTGCTCTATTTTTAGTCAAATTCCACGGCTTTTCAATATCCTTCTATTAGTGACTGATTCTGTTTACCAATGTGGATTATTTATCTACATTTTCCCATCTACCGAGTAGAAAAATTTTTATTTTCGTTATTTTTACAAAATTTAGGGAACGCATTAGATAATCATGGCTCAAATACTATTGAGCTAAAAGTGTCCAAGATGTATTTTGTACTCCCAGAATTTCCTTTTTAAAATCATAAAATATTATTCGGACCCCACCTTCTAAGACGCAAAACCAACAAAATATAATGACGCTTGAATTCATTCCAAACATTTCAAATCCAATTTTCGACAATTTTCGATTGATTGCACTGCCAAATGGTATGTGCAATTTATATACTTGAACTGGATAATATGGACGAGGATGATACCTATTCACTAAATTTAATATTAAGTGGGAATTTTCACATTTTTGTAACTTTTTTGACTAAATTCGTAAAATTCGACAATTTCAAATTAAATTTGACTTGAAGCTGGGATATTCAAAAGCATTTGAAAAGAAAAACTTATTGTTTTTGTCAAGATATATTCATCTGAGATAAAATGAATATTTGGTCATTACTTCACAACTCAATTTCTTACTGAAACTTGTAAAAACCTTAAAGCAAAGTTTTATAAAGACCATAAAAGAGAAGTTATCAAGACGATTATTAGAGCAATTTTTGATTTTGCGTATAATTTAAATTGAAAGTAACTCTAATTTAAAATGCAATATATTTGAAACCCTTAAGCGCTTCAAGGACATTGAGATACAAAAAGATGAATATTTAGATTTCATACTTATCTCTTACAGTTTTAATGTTGGCCATTATTATTTATATGTGCGGCAATATTGTTTCGATTTAGTGCTAAGATCGTGATGAGGCAAGATACTTAAAATTCATTTCATTCGTCAATTTTGGTTTCAATAATATTTACCGTGCAATGTTTTATAACCGCGATATCAATACCCTTTGGTAACCTTACTTTTATCTAACTATATTTTAAGCAATTAATTAAAATTTTATTTTCATGCACTCTCAACTGATATGACGAGTCATTTGCGTTATCACTGAATTCATCTTGGGTAAATAAATTCTGCATTAATAATTTGCAAATATAAAAATTCAGTTATGATCCAACTTTGTTTATAATAACTGCACTATTCAAGTTGAAATGATTTCACTATCTAATGTCTGATTTTAAAAAATTCTTAAAAACCATTTTGCCCCATAATTGTAGCGTGAATTTTGAAAATAGACATTCAGTAGAATAATGGCAAATATTAATATCCAAGGTCAATTAGAATAACATTTTCTAACACTTGTTTTTTTTGTGGAAAGTGAAGTCATGGAACTTGTTCTAAAAGTTGCTCCAATTCTGCCGCCCTTAATACTAGCTGGACTTAACTAGTTCAAAGATACTTACCCCATGTTTTTTGTAATTCTCATGTGTCCCAATAGTATCGAATAATTTGGCACTGTGATTTTGGTTCTCCCACTCGTAGATAATATGAACTTTAAGGCAAGGAAATTGAGATCTATCTTTGGAGCATTTATTTTCACATTTGAGCATAGGCATGTCCGGTTCAATGTAGTGCAGATAGCATGTGGATTCCTCAAAGTAGGATTCATGCAAGTATGGTAAAATTACAAGACTGATGAGAATACATTCAATGATCAAGGACATAGTCAGAGTAGTCAGGCAAACAATATACACTGTTTTAATAAGGATTCCAGTGCAGACAGTATCCACAAACTGTTCGAAAGCGGAATAATGAGCACCCCTGCTTGAAATGGCCTCTCGACGTGCATAGCTTCTTCGGCTGCCAGAGTAATCAGGAGCGGGTTCATCTTGGGGTAATAGCATTGCTATCTCTTCACATGACTCTTTTTTCTTTATTTTACCATGAATGGCAAAGTAAATTCCTTCCCTCCTTTGAGGTTCAGTTGAGCACGTGCGCTATGCCGAGGAAACCAATGGGGAAAGAGAGTCTAAAATGCTGCGGGATTGGTAGCTGCTTTGCCAAATGAGGCCTTAGAAAAACAATATGAGCCTTTGTTCCTAAGAAAGAGTATCAAAAGATATCAGTTTAAGTTTTTTAATGGGAAGATGATTCTTTGCCTGAGTTAAGTCAAAATTTAATTTAAAATAAGTATGTTAGTTAATAAGTGATTAAATAGACATAAATAAAATTTTTAAATTATATTCGACTTAAAAATTATAAAACTTTAACATTCACTTCAGATTCTATTCAATACACAACGAAGCTTCTAAAGTAATTAAATCAATGCCATTTTTATCCAGCGTTGTGTTAAACATCTAGATGTTAAAGCCCACTATTTAGATTAATTTTAATTAAATTGAAAAGGTTATTATGAATGTAAATTTTGAGTGGGTGCTTTACCTCATTTGGATGGACCAGCTTCTTCTACTTTCCTTAAAGGCAAGCCTTGCAGTTTTGAATCGTAGTTGAAATTGTAATGAAGTTTTAATTACAAATAAACACTTAAAGCAAAAACGGAGAATCATTAGAAGTTTATTAAATTTTCTTGTTTTAATCACTTTCCTTAGGTCAAAATTGAGGAATAAATTTACAACTTAACATACGAGCATATGTTCATGATATTCGAAGTCTTAAAGTAATTAAATTATTTTTGTAATCTGTTTGATATTTGCTTTTATTAATGACTCGAAAGAATTAAAAAATACTATTATAAAATAAATCCACGATTTATTTATTCAAAATCTGCATTTTTCTTTTAGGCTATTAAGTATTGTTTTATTTTAAACATATGCTATTGTTTCAGCCCATTTCTTCCTAAAAAAATTGCGTTTGAAACTGCGCAAATACTTCGAACACAACACCTTTAAATGAAAGCCCTGCAATTAATTTGAGATACCATATTTTCAAGGTATATATTTAGTTTTTTTGACTAGTTTTATTTTAATTCAATAAAGCAACATTATGAATATTTTTAATGTCCTTAAAATCAATATTGCTGTTAATTTTCAATTAATTTAATAAAGTTTTTCTGTTTATACAAATTTCACAAATAAAAGTCACAAATAAGTATATAAATGACATGTCAAAGATAACAATTTAATAAGCAAATTTCGAATGGGCCCTAAAGTCAATCTATGTCTTAATTATTTTTATATATAAAGTCATTTAAATCAGACTGACTGCTAAAAGCATAAGCTATAATTCTGCGCATTTCTGTGTCTATTGTCTAAGATAGAAATGATTAAAAAGTTATTTACATTAACTCCTATCAAGGACTCCCAATGTACAAAATATTACATGGATTTCTCGTTCTTTATAAGGATTTAAACAAACCTTTTGTAAATGTAAATAAAGGAACAGTTTTTCTTCAATATCGTTAGCAATAAAGATTTGAAAAGCATTCCAAAACACTTACCCGACAAAACAGGAATTTGACACTGTTTCAGTAGTTCATAGAACTATTGACTAGTGGTAAATACTTTCCACTTTTGCAAATTAAAAATATACTTGTCTGTTTATAGTTTTCTTTTAAAGTATCCTCCAGTTGTTCATATTTAGATTCAAATACTTTTAAGAATTTTGTCCTTAGTTGAGGAAATACAATAGACAATTGATATCTGTCCAGCAATCCTATTTTTCTTAAATGTAAACCTTTTAACGTAAAATTTAAAAGTGAAAAGAACTGTATGAGAGAAGTTCGAACAATATGGTGTTTCTCCATATTGTTAATATCTTCATGGCATAGTGTTAGAACTGAGATCAAGTTACCACAGTTGTATCTACATACTAGACGTATTGCAGCATGAATTCCATGAGTTCATTCTAACTGCATTATACCGGCTCTAAATTGGGGTTCAAACCAGCCCAAATTTTTCTGCCTAGAATGTCTCAGTTAGCGGTAAGAGGTGTTAACAATATACTATGACATTTCCAACTTTTGAGATGCAATTAACTACATCAAGAATATAATAAACTAAGAACATTTAATTGGAAGGGCTTACATCTTATTCAAGTAGTATTGGACAGACTTATAAATAATTTCCTTTTCGAGTTTAAACTTCTGTCAATTTGAAAAGAAATATTTAAATAAATAGAATAGGTCACCCCTCTGTTCCAAACATTGCCTAAATAAGCCAATATAAACACTCTTACCGCAATGATAAAATTTCATCATTTTTTTAACCAAATAAAAAAAATTCTCATTTAATTCATTAATTTTGACGAAGAGGTGGCTAACTCATGGAAAGCAATTTTCTTTAACTTAAATTATCGATAAAGGCAAAAGCAGAAGTAATTTGTCAGCAATAAATTAAATAAATTTTTACCCTTTAGTAAAAAGTTTAGTCTTTCAATCAGTTTTCTATACACCATCAACCAGCACGTGCTCTGTCATTGCTATTTATTAACTCCTAGTTCTATAAATAGACCTTCATATTTACTTTCAAGAAATTAATCAAATATATTGCATTGATATCTTTCCCACCACTTTTAATTCAAATTATTTGTAGAGCACGTTTGAAAAAATTCGACTTTTAGTACTCAAAATGTTCATTAATAATAAAACAAAAATGCAATTTAAATCATGAACTTTTTGGAACTAGATTTTGCGGACAGTATTTGTTTATGTTGAATGTAAATAATAAGCAAGGCAAATGTTTTGGTAAAATTCTATAGAGATTTTAAAAATAGCAATTTTAGAAAGAAGTGCAGTCACCTAAATCTCAAACTGAATTATTGGCGTTCGAATTTTTCTATTGACTTCTTTGTGTTTCGATTCTTCACCTATTAGTAAGATTCGATCATACTGGATTTAGAAATTGTTCCCAACAGGTTTCATTAAAAATTAAATGTGTTATTATGCTGTAAAGGAAAAAATCTTGGCTCAATGCTTACTTCATGTTTTAGTTAACTGTGTTGAAAGTGTTGAGCTTCAGTAATTTTGCCTGAATTGCCTTAAGAAAAGGGTACAATTGGAGACTTATATCATTTATAGAAGCCTTCTACGAATGCAAAGCATAGCAAAATATATGCGATGCTCAACTTTCTATTGTTAATAAAGAATGCTTTGATAAGGTTGTTTAAAATGATGCTTTTCAGACAGTTATTCTCAATGTTTGACCCAAAATTTCCATGTTGGCCTCTTTTAAAAACACTTGAAAAAGCAGCTGCGCACTTTCTGAGTCAAATCCTTCTCTTCCTTTTTCTAAGCCATCCTTGCTCTGCCAATATTCATAGCTGATTTACTAGCGAATTATATTTAGATTTTGGTTGAGCTATTCCTTCAAGAAGTGCGGTTACAAACAGTGAAGAACATTGAATTACATATTTTTATCTAATTATGAATGTTGCAATATTTAGTAATAATGCTACTATTACATGCCTAATAGCAATACAAAATTAAGATTAATATTGAATGGCATATTTGGATGGTAATTAAGAATGATAACTTCATTTTAACTTATAATCGCATATCAAAGGAGAAGTAATGAGATCAAGTAATATTAATGCTCATACGGCAAGTTGATTTTCTTAAATGCGGCTCTTTATCGAAATTGTTTTAAGTCAAATTGAAACCTTTCGGGTTTCCTATCAAACGGAATATGCAATTTATTATACAATTTATTACCAAAGATATCGATTTTCTATTAAACTAACAAAGAGACACATTATACATTTATCTTATAATTCCACATCTTTTATCTGGTGATCTGCTATTGTTTGCTAATTGTGCAATACTAGAAAAAGAATAGATTTCAAGGACCCAGTTTGTCAGAATTAAAATTATTTTCACTCACCGCGAACCTAATTTTCACAATTTTTATTTTATGCAACAGTTGTCAAAAATAGAATGGGTCCCATAGGGATCGAGTCCACAGTCAAGATATGAGTCATAGTCTGTATGCTTAGTTTTCATTAAACATTGATTTTTATTCAAATAATGCCAAGTTTGCTATTTTTGTTTACATTTCCAACTGGACAAGTAGGCCCGTTACCGTCAAAATATCGAAAAGTACGTTACTCTCAAGATAATCAACTTATATGCTTTCAGCGAAAACACTTTAGTTATTCCAATCAATTATTTCGACTTTGGATCTCTTGAACTTCACTAAGTAGTATTTAAAAATGTTTTAAAGTGTTTGCCGACTGTTTCAGGTAAAGATACGAATTGTTTATAAAAATCTACACAGAAAATCAGGTTTCACTTTGCCAAGTGAAATGGTTTTGCGATCCTTGAATTATCTATTTCATAGTTTAATTTAATTGACCTTTCCCTAAGATTGTTGAATATGACCGCTATTGCTTCTTAATTATTTAATTTGAATTTATTGAACAATTTTATTTAAAAGGTCTGAGGAAATATATTTGTATATTTTGCTGCAGTTGCCATTCATATTGTCTAATAATAGCTGGCTGTCCTTTTAGCGTTGAGTAGCAATTATATACAAATCCTCCAGTAAGTCGTGTGTTGAAAATTCAAATAACTAAAAAATCACGTATTTTAAATTGTTTTTTCGTTTAATTTATTATGCTATTTCATTTTGCGTATCGTATTATACCTAACACTAGTCTAAAAAGGACAATTAATTACTGTCCTGATTAATATGCTATTACGTTAATCATCAATGATGGTAAATTTTTGAAAAGCTGAAAGCAATCATTTTAGTTTTTTTCAAATTTTGGCTGTGTGACAGACTTACTTCCCTGTGGTGCACCCTGGGCAACGTATACTCAAACGGCAAAAGAAGTCGATTAACCGGCAGTTGACTTCTGACTTCAAACTTGTGGAACATGTCATCGCATGCGCGTACACATAGGCTTGAGGTGCGGCCGCACAATTTCGCGTACTGATTGAGGACAAGAG